ATAAGATCACTTTTAAAGTATGAAGCAAATCTTCAGAAATTAGACACTTGTTACTAACGGTCATGATGCTTTCACTTCTGTTGCCCTGTTTGATCCTCTTAACTTATTACTAAGGTAGAGAGGAGAAAGGAGAGATCTAAGGAGTGTGGCATGTGACTTGCCTAAGATCCCATAGCTTGGTAGTGGCAGAGCTGTTTCTAGCAGCAAGCCAAGGGCAGGAGGCTCTGGGCTTTGACAGCTGAGCTGGGACTGCCATGAGTCTCAGCCCATTAGGCAGAGGTACTTCACCAGGTTCCATTGGCCATGAGGGGCTCCCATGAACTTCCCAGAGTGCACGTGGTATTGCCAAATCCAAGGCTGGAAGGGCAAGAGGACAATGTTAGGTAGCTGTGCAAGAGGTGACATGATGGGACTACAGTCTTTGCTCAGGCTTCATACAATCTTCAGTGGCTTCTGCTGGTTCTGGAAACCTCTACCTTACTCCCACAAAGAAACACTCATATTCTGCAAATCAACCTAGCTTGCCCAGGAGCCTGGCCTCACTTTTCTTCTTCTGGTGGAAAGAGAAAGAAATGGAACACATTAATACTTTAACTTATTAATCTCTGAAAACTATTCTGGGAACCAGGTGGTTACATTTATATATTTATTAAGTATTAAGTGCCTTCTATGGGCTAGACTTTGCGGTAGGCCAAGTGAAATTGCCATCAGCTGGTGTCAAAGCAGGAAGACTCTCAGATGGTACTAAAAAAGAAAACGAAAACTAATCTAAAAACCAGATTTCATGCACCTGAAATCTGCCTGTAAATGTCTCTACTTGCTCCTTGGAAATTTTGGTCATCAAGTCTGCCTTTGTAATTCGATTTAAATCAAACTTACCTGGTAGAGATGGTTTGTTAGGAAGGCGCAGTAAGCATGGTACAATTTGGTTTGACCATGAACCACCTCCTGAGGGTTTGGAACCTGTCTAGAGCCTTTCCCACTGGACCACCTTTGCCTATCCAGAAAAAAAAAAATCCTTACAAGCAATCATAAGGTGCAAAATAAAGCACAAAATATCAATGCACATTACCAAGGCTTATTTTCCTGGTTGATCTAATACCAACTTAAAAAAAGAATCACAATGGCATTTTAAATGTACTGGGTGTGCTGGGTTGAATAGCTATTTGGTTTTATTGTTTTTCTGCCCCCACTGCAGAAGATCCTTTGGATCCAGAGATGGTAGGTTGGACCCACCATAGCTTGAACTTACGTTTTTGGAGTTGTAAAAACTTATGCAATTCCCATTGCCCTTTCTCACTCTTTGATTTGACAGCGGATGCACTGGCAGAGCAAGGTTAGAAATGTGCCAGCCCCCAGCACAAGGCAAGTGAGCCAGGGTGGATCTGCACTCAATGTCCACAGCTTTGCCTTCACCTTTTTTTTTTGGCTGCAGATTAAAGTTGGCTACTTGGGTCCTCCAGTCTTATCTTTGATATCTTCAGTGAGCTGCATTTATAACTTGTGTAGGCTGCTTGAGATCATAAAAACCTATTTTTCTGTCTGAGGCTACTTTGTGTGTTGCAACATTTATTTTGCTGTGGTCCTTATACTGAAGGATATAGCTTCCATTGCTCTGCACAGATCTTTTTCCTCCAGCCTTTGCGCTTTCTCAGCGGCACCAACCTTGGCTTTGCAAGGTTGGGCTAGCATTATCTTGTTGACTATTTTAGAGGAATAGGAGAGGTGGAAATCTGAGAACAAGATACTTAGTTCTTTGGCAGGTTTACGAAGCCCTTGTGTCTAATTAAGACAGGTACCCTTTTCATCAAGTTTGACTTCAGAGTCGTCTGGATGGGTTTCCCATAGGAGAGGAAAAGCAATCACACTACAGGGGCTTTTCTTTACCTTTTGATAACTGGCCTGCAAAACAGATTCTGTTTTGTTGGATGGTTCCTATGTTGTCCTTGTTAGGTTTTTGATTGCTGGGAAGAAAACTAAACTTTAAGAAGTTGAGGTTTTTGCGTATGTGACTCTGTTTCAATTGGGCGTTTGGGCCTTTTGACATCTTTGACGAGCGTCCTCAAATCAGTTAACTGTCAACTACTGTTAACTAACCCTTGTGCTGTTAAATTACAGGGCTTTGACTCATGGGTATCTAACACTAAACTCAGGTTAACCAAAGTTCTGTTTTTAGACCCAGAAAAAGACAACAATCAAAATAAACTACTTTCATGAAATAAAGAACCACACCTGTATTCAGAGACATTAAGACTCATTTAATAATTTTGCTTCTATCTAAATTAATATAAATTTGTTACTAGACAATTTAAATGTTTAGCTACCTATGAATTTCCTTTTCTTGTCATTATCAGAACTACCTAGTTGGGAACGTTTGTGTAGGATTAAATCTGTTTCTCATGAGCCCCCATAGGTTTGCACAAGGAGCCAGCTTACTCCTGTGAGCCCATAGAGGACCTCAGGTACCTGTTCAAAAGGCTGCCTCCCAAAGACAACAAAAAGCTAAGTAACGCTCTCATTCAAATGACTAATATGAATGTGCTTCCTCTTCTTTTCTTAATCATCATTAATATTTTCCTAATAATCCACTAGTTATTGTTACTTTGCTTGCTTCCTAGTGGTTGGAATCAAGGTACTGGCATAGTTATTAACCAACCTTGCCTTTTGCCTTAGATGTTCACCATGTTTAAGTTATACTCCCTCCTCCCCCTGGAAAAGACATTTTCTGTCCATCTTGGATACAGGAGAATAACGGTGTTGCATTTTGGCTGAACAGGGAGTGGTAAGTGCTGTTGCAAACACATCTTGTTGCATCTACATTGATGTTTCAGGGGAGGAAGCAAAGGACATTTTCCTTCAATAAGCTGCATGGCTCCATAACATCAATAACCCCACGGCCCAGACCATCTGGGATTCTATTAAGGGATGTTTGTCCAGTATTATTTGGTTCCTTTCCTTCTTAGGGCCCTTATAAACTATCTTTCTTCTTTCAATCTTTGGACCATGTTTGTTTAACCCTCTGGTAAAATTTATATCTTCCAGGTTATAGTAATTGCAATTCAAGTTGATGCTAACTAACACAAGGCTTCCAATGCATCTCACCAGCCAATCCAGGACATGGAAACATCCTGCCACTGGGCCCCTTAGACCAGGTTTCCAGAGATTTTTTACTCCTACAATGCTAGGCAGGGCCTACACCCATAAGATCAGCAAGAAGAAGCTACAGAAGACAGACCTGTGTCCTTCTATAACCCCTTAAGATTAAGGGAAACTATTATCTCTGAGGGGGGAATTAGGCAACTGGCAGGTACTGCTTTAGATACTGCTTCAGGCATTGCTTTGGACATTATTGCAGCATTACCTGAGTCAGGAAGTCTCAAAACAAAGTTTCAAATTACCCTGATCAAAATAGGATGGAGGCAAGGCAAGTTGTAACTTGTTAGAACCAAGATGGTGGAGAAATGAGGGTGTCACCCTGATTCCAGGAAAATACTGTCCCTGTCATGAATATTCCTCCCCCTGTTTAGCCTATAATTAAGCCATTGATTAAATAGAAAGGCACCAGAAACCAGGGGGGCTGGTTCTCTTCTGCAGGGAGAACTTGCCTCTGCTCTGTCTGAGGAGTAGACTTTCTATAGCTTCTGAATAAATCTCACTTTCACTTTATACTGTCGGCTCACTCCTGAATTCTTTCTTGCTGGAAGGCAAAGACCCACTTGAACTTCAAGTGGCTCCCAGCATTGGGAATCACTTTTCTGTGTCAGTAGGGGTAAGAACTCACCCCTCTGCTCTTTCACCTTGCTCTCTCTGTCCCACAAACCTCACCTAATGAGGCCCTGGCCCAGTTAGTATTTTAAGATGGCTACTCTGCTTTCCCCATGGGACCTAGGTCCTGTGACCCTCCACAGCATGAAGACCTTGTTTCCTGATGGGTAATGTTTTCCCGTCCCTGTGCCTTGCCTCTCTGGGGCTGTGTTCTGATTTCCCCACTGGCTCATTTGTTTCCTTGGGCTGGCTGCCTTGTTTGGCAGTGCTGAGCGAGGACTCTGATAGATGCCAGGAGGTGAGGGGAAGGGCTCTGAATGGACTTGATCATTGGACAAGCAGACTCAGTGATGGATGAGCCTTTCCCCAGGGAGTTTTGGGTCAGAAGTCCAACCGATACATTTTTCTGGAATTGAGTAACCCAGAAACAGTGCCATAAAGATCTTACCTCTTTTGTGGGTTTTTGCATCGATTTTAAAAGAAATTCTCAGAGGCAATTCCACATCTTACTGGAAAGACAGCTATATCACGATAGACTTAGATATATGTGACATGAATTCCTCTAGAAATAACATTTGAGGAGGGGGTTGGAGGAAGGAAGAGAGGGTCTTAAAAAATCCCTATCAAAATATTTTCTTTCTTCTAAGTATTGAAAAGGCACAATATAACCCTTTCTTCTTCCAAATGATCTCATGGCTGTTTATTGAGGGGAAATACCAAATGTTTATTATTATTTTTGAAGAAGCTTCTTGGGTCCTGATGATTCATGTCGATATCATTTTCCTCCTGACTACAGAGGCTCTGAGACAAAGCTACACTCCAAGTGATACGCCAGTGTCAGAACAATTCCTGTCCTGAAGGAGGCCGTGCGACCTGTTTTATTCCTCCTTCGCAGACGTCCTTGAGCCCTTGAGACGGATGTGAGTGAGTTTTTCAGTCCTCATGCAAAACAACCATCTAAACATAACAGATGACATCAGCTTGGGCTTTTCAATTCCTGGATGGCAGCAGCATGTTAATCCAGCCTTCATCCTGGATTTCATAAACTAAAACAAGAGAGCCTGGCAGGAGGACAGCGCTGCTGCTGGGTTGAGGAAATTGATGACGGGGAAGCATGCAGGCAACCCAGTGTATAAAACTCATAAACGTGTAGGCAGAGGCTCAGCTACCAGTTTGGACGGCTGCTTCCCACCAGCAGAGACCACGACGTGGGAGCCGAGCCTGGGCTGGCCGGGAAACATGAAGAGCCTCTTGCTACTGACCACGCTCCTTGTCCCTGCGCACCTGGCGGCGGCCGGGAGCACCAAGTATGCGGTGGATTGCCCTGAACACTGTGACCGTAACGAGTGCAAAAGCAGCCTGCGCTGCAAGAGGACAGTGCTGGACGACTGTGGCTGCTGCCGGGTGTGCGCCGCAGGGCTGGGGGAAACCTGCTACCGCACGGTCTCAGGCATGGACGGTGTGAAGTGTGGCCCGGGGCTGAGGTGTCAGTTTTACAGTGAGGAGGATGATTTTGGTGACGAATTTGGTATCTGCAAAGGTAAAGAGTGACTCCTTGCTTCTCCCCGCCCAGGACACGCTGAGAGCTTTTAGCCAGCTTGGGAGGGGAGGTGGCTTTGCTACTCAAGGCGAAGAGGGGGAAGGCAGGTGGGTCCTTGACAAGGCTCCACGCAGGTGTTGTCATAGGTACAGAGAGAAGGACCACTCTGCAGATAACAACTGGAACCAGTGTGCAGGGAGGCACAGGGAGAAATGCAGCATTTCACTCATGTTTAGGAGAGTTCAGAAAGAAAGTTGCAGTGGAAGATTGTGTTGCCTTCTTTTCTGGAAAACTTTAGAAACTTGACAAGTAGTCTGTTATGGATGGTTTAGGTGCTCTCTTCTCTGTAAGGCAGTGATTACAGAGGTCACCACTAGATAACCTCTCAGAATGGTTTCTAGACTCTGGATTTAGTGATTCTTTGATCAACCTCAAGGTCAATTATTTCTCATGAACACTAATGCACTTTATGGAATACAGTGGGCTTAAGTCATCTAATAAAATAATTCACTTTCTTTAAAAATGGTCTCTTGAAGTATGAAACAAACCTCATTCGACTTTATAAAGATTTCGGTCATCTAGAAAAATAGCAGCTGGTGTAAGGCAGGCAAAAACAATAGTAAAGAAAAATAAAAATTGAATGTCTGTAAAGAACGAGGTTGGCCATCTTACACATTTAAAAACTTCATCAAGTTGAAATGATAGCTAAATAATGTAGTTAAGTATTAGTAGAATTTATTTTAAACGTTGTGACTATAGTTTAAAATGTTTAGAATCAAAAGAATGGTGATTTAAAAAATTCTATATATAGATACCTCATTATCTCATCATTAAGAGCTAATATTAAGATGCAACACATGCTATAATGGCATTCATCAGTTTTATAATGCAAAGAAGCTTTCAAAATCATAAAAAGCACTTGGAAATTTTGAAATGATTCTTACATTTTCTGTGTTTAATACAAGTGAATAATAATCACCCAGGATTGAGCTAATCTCATTAATTCTCCTAACTTTTAGGTAAATAATTTATAAATTAATCATCTTTTAATCTGTAAAACATACAAAAGATTAGAAAGTAAATTCTTGAACTATTAGGAGAATTTTATTTCTTGCTTAGTTTATATTTATAACTAATAAGGGGGAGAATATTAAGGAAACATTTTGTTTGGTGAACACTTACACCTATATTTCTTTCAACTGAATAGTATCTGTATTTTCTGTAAATTGCTGGGCTTATCGGCCAAGAAAACAGTATGTCACATAAGGAAATTAGAGAGGAAGTGGTTAACACAATCACACTTATAATATAGCAAGTATATGCAGTGGATTGCTTTTTCTCTTGGCATAAAAATGCCTTTGTAAATGTGATTGTAAATGTGTAATTACATATGGGTGAAGAAGCTGGGAGGCATCTGGAGTCTTTAGCATGCTAGTAGCTCTGCTGCATGAACAAGGTACATATTATTGAGATATATTTTTAAAAAGATATTTAGGATTGCTCTTATTGGCATCCTTCAGATTGCTGATGAGTCTAGTTTCAAACGTTTTTCTCTCTGCTGGAAATAATGAGACTGTGTGAGCCTTAGCAACTCTAGATAGAGATATTATATTTTGCTATAGTCAAAAATCTCTCCTTCAGCTTTTTAAAAGAACACTGTATACTTCAGCTGCATACCCAGATGTTTTCTAAATATTCAGATGTTTGTCTTTGTGAGGCACAGACAATAATCAGCCAGCCGAGACACATTTTATAAACACTGTATGGCCCGCACTGTTCAATACATCAGGGGATACAATTGAAGTGTCACTGGAAATTTGGCTACAGTTTTAGTTTTCAGTGTCACTGCAGACACAGTCAAATCCCAATCCTGTGTGCTTTTCTGCTAGAGGCTTTTTCAGGATCCTTTTTGTGGACTCTTCTTCCCAGCAAAGAGGACAGTGTTCAAAATCAGGCTCTTCTGTAATCTGAAGGATACTGAAAAGAGAAATCTTAACTCTCTTTCAAAAATACATCTTATTGATGACCTAGATCATTCAGTGGAATATTAGAATGCTAAAGACTCAGATGCCTCACCACTTGTTTCTTTACCTGTATGTGATTGTACATTTACAAGGATATTTTCGTGCCAAGAGAATAAATATTCTCTATCTATTCTGCTGGCTTTTAAAGACTGGTGGTTAATTTATTTTGAGATGCTGTTTATATAATAAAATCCAAGCATTTTAAATACATGACTTTGCCCTCTTATCTCAATATAGTTAGTGTGTTTTAGCCTAAGTATAAAACATGGAAGCTCTAAAGCTTCTAGTTCTTGGTAGGTATACAAACCCTCAGGGTGCATAAACCCTCAGCTTTCTTGTTCATTTAACACCTTGCATCTTAGCTTTGTAGAGGATTTTACTAGTGAACCCTCTTAACAACTGGGGGCGTTAGTAAGGTCAGTTGCACTGCCGTTTTGACAGATGAGGAACTTGATGAGAGTTGGAGCAGATTGAGGACTGATTGCTTCATGGTGAGCTGGGATAAGGGCTCTCTCAGCCCTGGTTAGTTTGAAGCATTTACCTACACATTTAAAACAATAGATTGTGAATATAGTGGATTCAAAGACGGCATCACATCTTTTAAACTCTTTGAGGAGCTGATGCAGATGATCAATATCCCATGGTCACTGAGCTGTTACGGAGGTAGCTTGTGAGAACCTGTCTGTCTGTATCTAAGCAGAAAACAAACAGAATGAAGACTGCTCCAAGGAGACTGGCTATGTGTAGCTGTCTTCAAAGTCAGCTAAACTCTACATCACGACGCTAAGCCCGAGGCATCCGTTATCTGGTCTCCATGTGTGACTTCATACTTACTACTCAAAGTTGCAACTTTCAGAGCCCGGGGTTCTGAGGATTGGGTTTCATTTTACAGTCAAGATTCGTGAGGTTGGTTCAAATCTTAGGGTTGTGCACAGAGGGGCTGTAAGGATGGACACATATGCACAACTAGCAGCTCCCTCTCCAAACCCTTTCTTTGTCCTCAGACTGTCCGTACGGCACCTTCGGGATGGAATGCAGAGAGACCTGCAACTGCCAGTCAGGCATCTGTGACAGGGGCACGGGGAAGTGTCTGAAATTCCCTTTCTTCCAATATTCGGTAGCCAAGTCTTCCAAAGGGAGGTTTGTTTCTCACACAGGTAAGAATCGATTCCGGTATAAACATTGAAAGAATTGTCTCATTTTCAGTTTGAATCACTTAAAACATATCAATGAGTAGAATAAAATGTTGATTGGAATGATTTTGTTCCCTTTATCTTACTCAGGGGCGAGGTGGGTGGTAGCTGAGTTTGATGCTGTGGCTGTCTTCTGAAAAGATCCAATTAATAATTTTGAGGATTATATATAATTTCTCATAAAGTTTACGTAGTTTATATACATAGAAGATAAATATGATTGATTGCCAAAAAAATCTATCATAAAAAATAACTGAGATATACAAAGTTCTTTAAATTCTTCAGTGATCTGTTTTATATATTTACTAGACGAAACTATTCCTCTCCAAATTTCACATAGAAAAGTACTGTGAGGAATTTACTGGAGAAGCTTTGAGAGCCAAGATAGAAAATATAGGATGTTTCTTTTTTTTTTTAACCAGATGGAAGCATTTAAATGGAATAATTCCAAGCGTATGTTTTTACGGATTTAGGAGAGGATAAGAAATAGTATCGGCGATTGAGATTTGGAAAAATGAATGAAATTGTAGTAATACTCACACACTGCTTGTTAGTCCATGTGAGGAATGCACAACCTATGAGATGGTGCTCTGCACATGTTTGCTTCTCAAATGACTAGTACAGTATTGAAAGTATCTCATTTAAAACAACATGTATCACTAAAGTTTATGCCTCCATTACACAGAATGGTGGCTATAATTAATGATAATGTATTGACTATCTTAAAATTGCTCAAAGAGTAAATTTTACATGTTCTTACCATGAAAATATAATTATGTGAGGTGATGGATATGTTAATTTGTTTTAATCCTATCGCAATAGAAACATATCAAAACACCACCTTGTACCCCAAATTTATACAATTATTGTCAATTAAAAATGAAATAAAAAATTAAAGAGACACACAAAAGCCCAATATGTAGCCACAGCAACTGTTAGTATCAACAAACTATATATTTTTTTTCCTCTCAGATATAAATAGTTAATAATCCAAATCCATTTTATTTGGTTTTTGTTTCCGGTCTTTTGCACTTCAAATTAATTAAGATGTGAACTATTTGGTAAATGTGCTTATTTTTCCAGCTTTACCTCCTTCTTACAAATGGGTGCAACTAAGTGCATTAAAATGAAGGAGAAATGTTGTGCTTTTAAGTGAATTATTAGCTTTAAGTACGGCTGTGCCCCAAAGTGAACATCTTTGTGAGTGTTTGATCTGGAAATTCAGACATTATTAACTTTCTACCTACTATGATTTGTCCCTATAGTCCTTTAAAAGCAAAAGATTGGGTTTTAAGACCTGAATATTTTTTTTATTGAAGTGAAATTCACATAACATAAAATTAACCATTTTAAGGTGAACAATTCTGTGGCATTTAGTACATTCTCCATGTTGCGTACCCGACACCTCTATCTAGTTCCCGAACATTTTCATCAGCCTCAAATAAAACCCCAATATCCCTTAAGCAGTTACCCCTATTCCTCACATCCCCGTATCCCCTGGCAGCCACTAATCTGATTTCTGAGAACTAGAAATTCTTTCAATGGTTAGATTGCTTTCAGTACAGGGTTGAGAGCTATTGTCTCAGTACAGCGAGGCTCCCTCAAACACTTGCAGATTCTTCGTCTTATTTTGCTTTCTTGAAACCACAGGCTAAAAAGAACCTTGCAAGAACAACTTTTGCATCCCTCTTCACTCATTTAAGTTTGTACCCAAACCTTTCCCACCAAGACAGAATTGAGTCTGCTGTGCATCTTTGTTGATGTTTGGGATGGAGTGTCCAGGGAGGCCGTGAGAGCTCCTTTGGGGTAGTCAGTCTTCCAGGATGGGAATGCTCCTCAGTGTCTCACCCGCGTCCCTCCCATTGCACACACAGCAGTGTGGCTTCTTGGCCTCTCCTCCACAGGACTGTGTGCAGTCTCTCTCCCTCAGGCCTGTCACCCTCTCTCATTTGCTTGCAGATTTTGCAAATATCTTGATGACTATATAGATGCCTTGGAAACAGATATATTGCTGGGTGGACATGATATCATAGGTTACACAAAAATATTTCCATATCAGAATTAGGTATTGAGATTCTTATCAGAGATTTTTGGAAAAAGCAGTTGTCATTTTCCCTTTTCTGATCTGGGGTATTTCTTTTCATCAGCTAAAGGTGCTAGTAGTCATCAGCACAAGATGAGTATTAGCGTAATCTGGGTAAACCTTAGGTTCAGGGTGGAGAGCAGAATATCCCAAGGACTTCTTGGAAAGGCTGCCCAGGGCTCCAGCTCAGTGTGCATCATCTGCATGAGACTTGCCGGTTCATGTGCTTGAGTTTACAGGAGGTGGCTTGAGGCCCAGTCCTGCCACAGGCTTTGCATCATCTCTGTGCAAACCTGCCTTCACTAGCAGGTTAATGGCTGCATGGCCCACCAGTACAGAGACCCCCAAGGTCTCCTCCGTACCCCGATTGCATGGGGTTGTCCTTTCTACCTTTCCACCTGCTAGCTGCAGTACTCTTGGCAAGTGTGTTCCTGTCTTCCTGTGTTCCACTTGTTCTTTTTTTTGTTTTGTTTTTTGTTCCCTGTTAGTTTTCCAGGTTAGGAATTCACAAGTAACTTTTTTTTGCGGGGTGGTCGTGGGGGTGTAGGATCTGGAATGTTTCGTGGATTTATATACATTTGTCTTCCAGGCCGCACTAATCTTACAGAATTTCATTTCAGAATGTGCACTGGCAAAGCAAGCACACCTCACTGTGCTTAGAAGCAGAAATTTCATTTTACAAAGTTCTAAATATTACAAACTCTTCTTGTATGTAGAATGAGAATGATCAAAGTTCTACGCTTTGGTCTGCCTTCTGCCTTCTGGAGTCACAGCAAAAATTAAACTCTCTTCTTATAGCATTTGCTCATTCCATAGTATTTACTGAGTGCCTACTATGTGCCAGGCACTATTGTAAGTGCTAGGGATATAGCAGTGAACAAAATAAAGTTCCTACCTTCATGGAACTGAAATTCTAGTGGCAGAGTGAGATAATACAGGAAAAAAAAAAGACAAACGCATGTATAAGATAGTGTCAGGTGATGACAGATCTATGAAGAGAAATAATTCAAGTGATGCTATCGTAGATGGAGGTGCTAATTGATATAGAGTGAATACAATTAGCATAGAATCTTGAATCTGTTAAAGATTTCATCGTAAACTTCATGTAAAATGAAAACAAAACTGTGCTCGATTTTTGAGTTACAGACATTTGGACCTGATTTGTATTCCTTCTAATTTCAGAGCATGACATGGCATCCGGAGATGGCAACGCCGTGAGAGAAGAAACTGTGAAAGAGAATCCTGCCAGGTCTCCTGTAAGGAAATGGTTAAATCCACGCTGATCCTAAGAGAAAGCTCTATTTTAGTGATTGTTCAACATGCAGCCAACATTTTAGAAACTGTCTAGATCCTAGCATATGGACATGTAATTTTCGGAGACCAAGTGTGATTCATGTTGGATCCAAGAAAAAAAAAAGTAGCTACTTACAATCTGTAAAGTGCATATGACTGAACACTTTTAGATATTTGTTAAATGTTTGTATGCATATAGATTTGTTAAATGTGTGTGTATAGTAACACTGAAGAACTAAAAATGCAATTTAGATAATCTTACATGGAGACAGTTCAGCCAAAGAGAAAACTGATCAAAGCTGAAGACCACAGTGGGCCCACGGGTTCTTGGATGTACATTAATGTTGGGATAGTTGGGGCGGAGGAAGAGTTCGGAGCAGGAGAAGGTGGGGATGGGGTGGGGGTGGGAGAGCGTAATATTTAACTCTTCCTTGTGGTAGCTTCGGTAGAATTTAATTGTGCTTTTTCTTTTTTTACTTTTGGAAAAGTCCAAACAAAACAGCCAGAAAACCCCTGAAGGAAGTGAGCTGTTTGAAGCTTGTGGGAGTTTGAGCAACAGCCTTGAATTGAGATTGATTTCAAAGGGCGGCTGATGCAGTTCCCAGGTTACCTGTATCTGAAGGAGGGTTCTGGGACAGAGGGCAAACGTCCACTTCCATCAATGGTTTTAAAGAGTGCTGCCTCAGAGACAGAGCTAGGAAGCATTTTTCCCACTGGGGGTTTGTGTGTGTATGAAGGTAAATATTTATATATTTTTATAAACCAATGTTAGTACAAGTCCTCCTCCGTACCCATATTTATTCTATTGAGGAAATGAACCTAATATCATTTGTTTAAAATAGTTAGGATAAAGGTGTGACTCTATAAGATTTTCAAGCACCTGAGGCATGGAAAATTTATTATTAATAATTATAATACTATTAATAGTAACAAGCATAAGAGAAACCTGGAAAAATGTAGTCACTCTGGATGCATAAAATGTCAAAAAATGAGCAACAGAGAATTTATTCAGAAATGAGTGCTATGACTTACATGAATTTTAAATTTAAAGTAGAAAATAACTTTTTAGGAAGTTTGGAAAAGAGTCAATTTTTAGCAGGAAACATGTCAACTTTAAAATATAGTTTATTTTCATATTTTTTTCTTTTAAGCTTAGTTAATAAGTGGAATTAGGTATACGTTTGGGGGGATCTTGGCACAAACAGGACTGTTGTACTAGAGTTGTTAGGAAATATTTGCAGAAGTATTTTATTTGGAGTAAAGAACTTATTTAAGAATTATTTCATTATTTACCTATATTTTATTCTTGGAGTTTCTCAACGGAGTTGTGAATGTGTGTGGGAAGGTCTTTGAATGTAAGCTGAATAAGCTGTTAGGTTTTGTTTTAAATGGACATGTTTATTATTGTTCAATAAAAAAAGAACAAGATGCAGCTGCTCTGGGTTGATTTATGATTTTGTTAAATTGTAAAAAGTTATTTTAATGATTCAGTCAATAAACAAGAGCTCTCCATATTAAATGATATGTTCTTCAACTGAATTTTCTGCTACAGATGAGCCTCTCTGTCAAAATGTGGGGCCACAATATTTCCTTCTTTGCCCCACATTTTTGATCTACCTATTCTTTAGAGCTTCCTAAAAGTGGGTCCCTACATATTAACTCATTCTGCAGAGGCAAAGCAACAAAAGATAAACACTTCTGTTGATGTCGTGAGTCGTAGGGCTAAGGCTTGAACTGACCATTTCTACATAGCTACATGGATGGCATGTAGCATCTCATGGCATCGAGATGCTAAACTTAGAGCACATTTTGTTCTTTGTTTTGTTTTTTCGTCCTGGATTTTAACTTCTTTGAAGGTGGAAATTTTGCCATTAAACAGCTACTGAATGCTACTGCACACTGTTCTCGGTTCTATGAGGAAATCACAAATAATTACATCTCAGTCTGTTGTTAGCTGATTGACTAAAGGTTACAGATCTAAAAATGTCAATCTATTTTAAATTTTAGCAGTTTAGATTTCTCATTCATGTTCCCACTCATAATTAATACCAATATTTTCATATATTTCACATATTTCCTAATACATCTGAAAGTGGTTGCTTTTTAGAAAACATAGCCAAAGACAAACCTTTCAGTACCTATGAAAGAATAATCTACCACTTTGAAGCTTAAGAGTATCATATCCAAGGATAGTATATGTTCACTCAGCCTTATGGGAAAATTATGAAAACATTTTAGTTGAATTGATAAAATGCTAAAAAATTTATGTTTGTATAAAGAAAAACATCCAGTTTGCCTGATTTAATCTTTTTTTAAAATGGTAGAAATTGGGTGTGAATGAGATAAGTTATATTAATGCAAGATGTTTATGTCTTTATTAAATAAAAACAGAAAGCATTGGAAATCTTTACCTTCACCTGTATGCAGCGAGGTTTCAGGATATGCTCTCAGGGAGTGAGGTAACTTAAAGATCTGGCGTCTTGACTTGAAACCAAGGCCACCGTCCAAATGCTCCTTTGAGGTCATGTGGACAGTGGAACAAGAGCTAGACTGGGGCAGGGCTGGCCTCTGTTCCTGGCTCTGCAGTAATGACCTGGGCAACCATTGGCAAGGAAATCAAACAAAGGTGGGCCCATCCAGTCTGAGCTGCAGGCATATTTTCTAGCTGTCCAGCTTCATGTTACTGGGGGCTTTTCATGTTCTTCACTGCAAAAGCTAGTACCTGTCAATTCTGAATTGCACTGTAGTCTTCTGACTCTATTCTTCATAGCAGTCTTCCCCCAAATCTTTGGAATTTGCACACTCCTGATTGTGTACTTTTTGATTGCAATTTTTTTAGCAGGTAATTTTAAACTATATGCATACTATAGTATTAATACATTATAGTCATTATAAAACACAGACTCAAACGAGAAATTTTTAAAAGGATGAGGTAAGATATAGAAGTTCTGAGATTTTCTTCCTGCATCCCAGTTGACCCTTCTGGGAAACACCAGAGAAGCAAAAGAAAATGCCACAGGTCAGTGGTCTCTGATGAGGCCCAACCCCATTTGATACTGAAAAGAAACTGAATTGACACACAGTAAATATTTCTGGGATGAATGGATAAATGGATGAGTGGATGGCTGGATGGGTAGGGAAGTGAAGGTAGGCAGGATGAAGGGGAGAGAGGTGGGTGGGTGGATGAATGGATGATTGGAGGGGTGGCTGGGTGGAGGGATGAATGAGTGAATGAATGGATGGGCGGAGGAATGAATAAATAAAGACAGGTCTTCTGTTTCCACCAGAGCAGAAACTGCTCAAGAAGTAGACAGCCTTTCCTTCCCTTTCATCTGCCAGAATCCTACCTCCCTGAGAGGTACCTATCCTGCCTGTTGGGACCTGAGGTGATTGAAAAAACTGGACGCCTACCCTAGAGTCCGTGAATCTCACAAATAGGTTCGTCTAAAGCAACAGAGACAAGGAGTGCTTCTCCCTCAGCCACTGGGGACATCACCAGTGGTAGCAAGAAGGTAATTCCCATGGTTTTCAGACAAGGTCATCATTTCCTGTGAGAAGCAATTTGAAAGGACCACTGTTTCCAACCTGCATTTTCTTCCTTTCTTTAACCCTGATCTCCCTAGGGATAAAGGACCCAGAGATGTCATTCAACATCACACAGATATTTAGAAGAGGAATTGATTATTTCTGATTCCCCATCGGTTATCCTGGCCATTAAACTAAGGCCTGGCTTTGGAATCTTGCATGACATAGAGTAATGGTTCTCAAATTTTAGCATGCATCAAAATCACCCAAAAGCCTTACTGAAACACGAATTGCTGATTCAGTAGGTTTGAGGTGGGGTCCAAGAATTTTCCGCTTTAACAAGTTCTCAGGTGATGCAGATGCTCCTGTTCCAGGGACCACACTTTGAAAATCATTGATATAGGGAAAATCTAGATTTGTCTAGAAGGGAGAGAAACTAAGAAAGGGGTGATCAAAGCCAATCATTGTTGGCCTTGTGAAAGAATGTATCTTAACCAGTTGGTATATTTAATTTTGTATTTGAAGATTCTTAACTATTTAAGCAGCTGAGATGGTTGAGAAATGTCGGTGAAACTTTAAGTAAACTGTGGGGGGATTTATAGGGACAAGTAGAAGAAAACAAAGGAGGAAGATTAAAGTGGAAGAACCAGAGACTTAGGAAGGAATCGAGTAATGTGGTCTCATAGAAAAAAAGACATTCAGGAAGGGTGACCAGTGGTGTCATGTGTCATGGAGAAATAGGGCAAAACTGAAGAATCCTTAGGCAGTCCTGGTGACCACGGTAGAGTGGCATTCATGGAGAAGTTGGGTAGAAACCAGTGGAAACTGCATGGCAGGTGAGCACATTTCCGAAAGGTTGTCTGGGAAGGACAGAAGGCAGTTAGTCTGCAACTAGAGAGAAACCTTAGTTGTTAGAAGAGTTATTTGTTTTTTTCTGCCCCTTTTCCCCCAAGATTAGAAAGACACCATTCAAAACTCAGGATTATTCGACAGAAATGAAGATAAAAACTTTCTGAGGTGATCATATAGTTTGATTTGCTTACATGAATCAGTTATAAAATTTCACTTATACTGACTTTTTAGACATAATTCTTACAAAGCAGATGCATTTATACACTTTCCAGCCCCCTAGAGAATACAGGAATGCAAATATGAGTTACTGGAGTTGAGAAGAGGGCCCTAAAGCTGCAGTCCCCAACCCCCGGGCCGGGCTGGTACTGGTCCATGGCCTGTTAGGAACTGGGCCTCACATCACTGCCTGAGCTCTGCCTCCCGCCACCCTACCCCTCCACACAACCTTTCTCAATCTCTGGTAACTATCGTTCTACCCTCTACCTCCATGAGAGCAACTTTTTTAGTTCCCACATATGAGTGAGAATATGTGATATTTATCTTTCTGTGCCTGGCTTATGTCACTTAACGTATGTTGTAAGCTGTTGGTGGGAATGTAAATTAGTACAGCCATTATGGAAATTTCTCAAAAAACTAAATATAGAACTACTATACAATTTGACAATCCCACTACTATGTATTTATCCAAAAGAAAGGAAATCAGTGTATCAAAAGGATACCTGCACCCCACATTTATTGCAGCACTATTCACAGTAGCCAAGGTATGAATCAACCTAAGTGTCCATTGACAGAGGAATTGATAAAGAGAATGTGGTATATACACAATAGAATACTAGTCAGCCATAAGAAAGAATGAAAGCCTGTCTTTTGCAGCAAAATGGATGGAACTGGGGGACATTATGTTAAGTGAAATAAGCCAGGCACAGAAAGACAAATA